ACAGGCACACAAGTGGGTACCAAGACCTGGCAAGACAAACCTGAGAACTGCAGCGAGCAGCAACTAAAGCTCTCCCCTTTTTTTAGTTGACACAATCGGGAATATTTCTAGGAATATTTCTATCTCACAGGAGCTGAGATATTACCATCATCACATGGCCAAAACATCTAAGAGTCGGAGAAGATTTCATTAATAATAATAATAATAATGATAATAATAATAATAAATATACCCACAGACATAACAAGGTTTGCGACATATGTGCACTGGAAGATATGCAAGAAGCACAAAATCAAAACCATTAAGAGATGGTATGAGAACCAACCAGGCACAGTTACATAAAATAACGATGTAACTATCCACTGGGACATGCCAATTCAAACTGACAGGGAAATAAAAGCCAACAGATCTGATATTATCATCAAAGACAAGAAATTCAAGAAGTGTATGCTTATTGACATAGCAGTGGCATCTGAGAGAAACACTTCCATGAAAATTATCGAGAAATTGTCCAAGTACAAGGACCTGAAGATCGAGATTAACAGGATGTGTGGAATGAAGACTGAGACTGTACCAATAGTAATGGGAGCCTTGGGTCTTGTGAAAAAAAGAAAGGACAAATTTAATAACAGTGTTCCTGGTAACATCAACATACAAGTTGCCCAGAAAATCGCCCTATTAAGAACCTCCTATATACTAAGAAAATAATACAGTTAAATGGCTATTCTCTTATAGGGCCTTAGGACAATAGTTTGCACCCGGCTCTACTGGATACAAAGCAGGAAACATAACATATACAAACAATAATAATAATAGTGACCCTATTATCACCTATACGATTATGGTAAAATCCCTTTTTTCCGATTTGACAAATTATAAAAATAATTTAGAATAAATACCTTATTAAATTAGGAGGCATGGTGCAGTAATGAATAACGGCTCGGATTGAGAAAACGGAGAGCTTGAATTCCAGTCGAGTTCATTACATTCATTTACGTGCTAATACTCTTAGGAAAGGTATGCATCCATCTCCCTCCATCTATGGCTAAATAGCAGAATAGATTAGGCCGTATAACCTTGATAGAAAATCCTTCTAGGAGAGGGAAACGTTGAATTCAAACTGTCTTGTAGAGGGCTGAAATACCACTGCTTCTATAGCAACAGTAGATATGGCATACTCACGTGATCGTGAATAAATACTTGATTTCTTAACCCTTCTACGGATGTCCATTGATTTCGAGTTAGTTTACAGTTCTTAAACGTGGTATTTTGACATCTATTTTTCAGATGCTGTGTACCTTCAGGATATTTGGAATCACCCAAACTTCCTACCATTCCTTGCTGAGGCCTCGCCACCACGTTTTACCATTCATTCATTGTTCATAAGATACATTTCCTTTGTTATACGTCCCAATCCCTATCCTGTCGTTCGTTAGATAGACTACTGTTTTTTTCACGTCTGATTCTCTTTCCTTGAATATGTCTTGTGAGTTTCAAATTCTCCAATCCCTCTTTCCTTGTTATGTGTCTCGGACATTTCAACTGTCTTTGATTCTAAGTATCTTATTCTATGTGCCACGATTCTTCAACACATAGCAGGTCATTGCTCTCCACAACATTCTGTCGCTTATGGCTCTAAGTAGTTTTTCTCCCCCCCCACGTTTCACCATTCATTCACACAAGCTCGTCAGGTAAGTAACTCGCTGTCTCTTTCTCTCTTGCCCTCAATAGGCCTCGTGAGTGTTATGTTTTCCGTTAGTTCCTTCCTCATTACGTGTCCAAAGAATTTCAGCTGACCTTTCCTGATTCTGGGTATAAGCATTCTTTCTTTTGCCATTTCCTTTGAGACTTCTAGGTTTCTTACCCGTTCCCTCCATAGAATTCTCAGTATCCTTCTGTAGAGCCACTTTTTTGCTGCTTCTAATTTTCGTCTGATCCGTGTGGAGATGGTTCAACATTCATTACCAAATAAGAGGATGGATAACACATAGCAATCCAGGGCTTATTTTCTTTTGTTTCATACCATTTTTTTTTGTTTCTCAGCACCCTAGTTTTGAGGAATTCCTCTTTTGCCATTTCAGTTCGTGTTCGGATCTCGGTGCCACATTTTCCATCTTCTGTTAAAATGCTTCCCAGATATTTGAGCTTCTGCACCTGCTTGATGTTTATATCTCCAATTTGGATCGTATCGTTGACTTCTTCTCTTGCTGATGACCATATAAGGAGTAGCAATCCTCATCAGCACGTAGGTTAGGTTTAAGACTCCAAGTTCTCCATGAGACAACAACCTAGTAGATTAAAGTCTCTGTTCGTGAATTTCCTGACATAGTTCAATGCGAGTTCAATCTCTGGGCCGGGCAGTGTGTACCGGGCGAGCAATAAATGAACAATACTAAAAATAAAAACTCGACGAGATATCTCTAAACATGAGCAACGGAAAGAGTAAATAAAGGATTAAATTCGGAATTTCATGTAGGTTACCCGAGTCAACATACATCTGATGAAGGCCAGAGGGCACAACGGTCGAACCGTTGTGATATCGACAACAAAGTTTATGACAATAGTCAGCATGTATATAGTGTAAATAAATGTCCTTCCTCGTTACTTGCATGTTTCGTCGATGGAATTCTCAGAATCCTTCGGTAGAACCACTTTTCTGTTGCCTCATGTATCCTGTTCATCTGTAAGGAAAATTTCCGGAATTTACTGTGATTTATATTTCGGTTGATTCGATCCTCTGAATGGAAAAGTGGGGATTTGATTGGACAGTTATGTAAAATGAAGGTTCAATAAGATTCGTATGTTTTGCGGTGTTCAGTTAAGGACCATTTTGTAAAGTGAAATTTTTCTTCCCGCTTTCACATTTTTTTCGGATTCTTCTAATTGTTTACCATTGTGGAAATTTTTTTTCTTTCTTTCTTTCTTTCTTTCTTTCTTTCTTTCTTTCTTTCTAACAGTTTCTCTGTAAGGCTTTCTATCTTTCTGACAGTTTTTTTACACATTTCTCTCTCTCTTTCTTTCTTTCTTTTCTTTCTATTTCTTTGTTTTGTTTTCTTTCTTTTTCTATGTTATATTTTTTACACATTTCTTTCTTTCTTTTTTTTTTCTTTCTTTCTTTCTTTCTTTCTTGCTTTCTTTCTTTCTTTCTTTCTTTCTTTCTTTCTTTCTTGCTTTCTTTCTTTCTTTCTTTCTAACCCTTTCTCTACCAGACTTTCTTTCTGGCCGTTTTTTCTAAAACATTTGGTTGTTTCTTGTAAATTTTGTTTTAATATTTCTTCAAGTCGTTTGTTTTCTATCGATCTAATTTTTATTATGTATTTCTGTTGTCTCAATTTAATTCTTATTTGGTCAAATATTTCTTTCCATTTTTCTTCTTTCTTTTTCTTTTTAACGCTTTTCTTTTGGCCGACATCTTTTTAAATTTTTGTTTTACATTTTATCTTTCTTTCCCCCTCCTCCGCGAAATCTTTTTTCTTCTTTCTTTTTCCCAAAGACTTTTTTTATTGCCAGAATTTATTTCTATTATTTCTCTAAGTCTTTCTTTCATTTGTCAGATCATTTTCTCTAAATTTTCTTCTTTTTATTTCTTTTCATCTTTAATTTTCTTTTATCATCGTTTGTTAAATGCAATAAAAAAGCAACAAAAAAAATAAGATGAGGGGAGGAACTGGTCAAAAATTAAACATGAATTTGCTTCATCTAAGTCCTTTTTTTTCTCCAGTTTTTTCTTCTCAATTTTATATTTCTTTCTTTCTTTCTTTCTTTCTTTCTTTCTTTCTTTCTTTCTTTCTTTCTTTCTTTCTTTCTTCCCTTTCCTTGCTAATCTTCTATTTCTTTTCTTCTTTTTATATTTTCCAAGTGGATTTCTTTCTTTCTTTCTTTCTTTTTTCTTTCTTTCTTTTCTTTCTTTTCCTTTTCCTGTGTCATAATTCCGTTCTTTTCTTTCTTTTCTTTCTTTCTTTCTTTCTTTCTATTTCTGTTTCTATGTTACTTTCTTTTTTATATGTTGACATTTTTTTTCTTTCTTTCTTTCTTTCTTTCTTTTCTTTCTTTCTTTTTTTCCTTTCCTGTGCTAAGTGGATTTCTTTTCTAACTTGCTTTTTATATTGACTGGGCTTCCAAGTGGATTTCTTCCTTTCTTTCTTTCTTTCTTTCTTTCTTTCTTTCTTTCTTTCTTTCTTTCTTTCTTTCTTTCTATTTCTTTCATATTTTCTTTTTCTTTCTTTCTATTTCTATTTTTCTTTTCTATGTTATGCTTTCTTTCTCTCTGAAAGTTGTTTACGTTTTCCTTTTCTTTCTTTTTTTCTTTCTTTCTTTCTTTCTTTTTCTTTGACTGGGCTTCAAGTTTTCTTTCTTTCTTTTCTTTCTTTCTTTTTTTGTTTCTTTCTTTCTTTCTTTTCTTTCTTTCTTTTCTTTCTAAAAGTATGTTTACGTATTCCGTTCTTTCTTTCTTTTTTTTCTTTTCTTTCTTTCTTTCTTTCTTTCTTTCTGTTTCTCTTTCTTTTTTGTGTTTTCTTTCTTCTTCTTTTTTCTTTCTTTTCTCTTCTTCTTTTATTTTTTTTTTCTTTTTTTTACCAATTTTTCTTTAGTTCTTTCCCTCTATTTTATATTCTCCTCTCCCATCCTTCGTTTCTTCCTTCCTTTCTCCCTACCAGTTTTTCCACCCTCTCCAAACCCATTCCACCCTCTCCATGATCTCACGGTTCATTTCCTCTTGTATGGGTTTTTGCCAACGCAAATTTCTGCCATCCTTTTCTTTTCGCTACTTTTTTCCCCTTACTTTACCTTCTCCATACAATATTAATACCCCTATCCTATCACAGCCACTACCATTATTATTATTATTATTATTATTAGCCTAGATTTTTTTTATTTCTTTGTTTTCCGCATCTCTTTCGTAAGTATGAATACAATTAGATGCAGGTGAGATTTTATGGCTACACCGGAGTAGCTCGACCCACACGTGCGCCTTTCAAATAGCCGGACGTGCGCCTCGATACTTAGGCAGGCGTCGGCAGTGAGTCGAGCGTCGCCATCATCAAAAATGGCGGTGATGATGGTTCGAATAGAAATTGTATCGATGTAGTATTCGCAGGTGTACGGAAAAAAACTCCGAGCGAAAAATAAGAGGGATAAAACAAGGTGGAGGTAAGTGTTCGTACGGATGAAAGAAAGGACGAGTCCCATCGATGAACTGAATGGGGAGAGAGAGAGAGAGAGAGAGAGAGAGAGAGAGAGAGAGAGAGAGAGAGAGAGAGAGAGAGAGAACAGGGACTTTTAGAATAATGATATAAGAGCAGTGGTACCCTAATAGTACCAGAAATATATAGATAAATTATGTGTTAGAGTTTGTCGGCATGAAAAAATAGGTAGATATATTGATATAAAGAATGGAATAGATAGATAGATAGGTAGAAAGAAAGAAAGAAAGAAAGAAAGAAAGAAACAAACAAAGAATGGGATAGATAGATAGATAGATAGATAGAAAGAAAGAAAGAAAGAAAGAAAAAGAAAGAAAGAAATAGATAGACAGAAAGAATGAAATAGATAGATAGATAGAGAGATAGATAGACAAAAGAATGAAATAGATAGATAGATCGATAGATAGATATAAAGACTGGAATAGATAGAAAGAAAGAAAGAAAGAAAGAAAGAATGGGATAGATAGATACATAGATAGAATGGGATAGATAGATAGATAGATAGATAGATAGATAGATGGGAGAGAAAGAGACAGAGAAAGATAAAGTGAGAATGAGAGAGAAAATATACTTTTCTTTATTACTATAAGCGTACTTTGTAGTGGGTACTCATATTTTTTTCCTGAAATTATGAAATAAATAACAACGAACCTAGACTGAGAAGTCCTACTAAATAAAGACTGTGCTTCCGACAGGAATCGAACCTGTATCCCTTACTTTTGGCAGTGGCACGTTTCTGATTAAAAAAAGTGTGCTACTCTCGTATGATATCTGCCGTCCATTTTCTACTATAGTATGATATCTACTTATTCATTTTCTACTATGGTATCATATTTGCATTTTACTCACCCCACCCCCACAAGATCAGGTTGGGACACAAGATAGGCTTAATGTGGGGAGCCCGAGCACGTACACCCGGGCTAGGAACAAAAATTGCCCGTAGTCCCCGCAACCGTCGGTTGCGCTGGCCTCGGTGCGAGCACCGATCCCTCTCTCTAGTGCAATGAGAGGCCGTGGCCTCGAGCAGCTGTTCCCCAGGGCTGGGCACCTCTCAGTATAATTTTCCTCAGTTGTGACTCTGTCCTTTGACGGAGTCACCCCTGAGTGCACTCTTCTCAAGGACAGAAACGCAACTGAGAGATGATAATGTGTTACAGACTACGAGAGAGAGAGAGAGAGAGAGAGAGAGAGAGAGAGAGAGAGAGAGAGTAATTTTTTCACCGCTATGGTATGATATTTACCAACTGTTGGAAGTATGAAATATGTTAGGGTTAGGGTTTAGGGATTAGGGTTAAGAGTTAGGGTTAGGGTTTAGGGATTAGTGTTAGGAGTTAGGATTAGGGTTAGGATTAGGAGTTAGAGTAAGGGTTAGGGTTAGAGTTAAAGTCAGTGAACTGGTTATGTATTAAAAATCATTAACAAATTTTTATACAAATAAAAAAATCATCAGTCATTTTGATTTTTATAAACTGATATGATGCCATTTTCATCCAGGTCATCGTTTTTCCTGATCATTTTCCAGCAATAATGAGTGCATCGTAATTTTACGGCAGGTCGTAAATGCCTCGGTAGATATCCTACCCTATATCATATCGTATGATATCTACTGAGGCATTTGCGACCTACCGTAAATGACGATAGCAGCAAAAAAGGGACATAACTCTTTTCCCACAGATAAACGTTGCAAGCCTCTTTTTACTCTATCCCTATTTCCATATGAAATGTTCTGACGAGTTGCAGCCCTTAGTTCTACCTGTTCAGACATTTATAGTTAGGGAACGTCATACCATTTACACAGGGTCAAATCATCCTCATTCCCTTAATATTTTATTAATGAAAAGGAAATTTTACTCGGACTCCGAATCCTGAGAGGATGCTTTCTCGACCACTATAATCTAAATTATTATGTTCTCATATAGGACACGCATTTCTGCCTCTTACAACAACCTCACTCAATAAACTTCAAACTTGAGTGGCACTTGGGCCCTGTATTGGGTGAACATTAAAACAAATCTTCAAACAGGAAATGTATTGACATCTGCGATATTTACGTATTTATTGTAAAATAATCGAAATTGCCGAAAAATGAAGCAAAATATATGACAATTGATCAGTTGAAGTTAGGAGAATGAACCATATGTGAAAAGGAAATGAATGCATTAATTTAAATTTAAAAAAATGGGCAAGAGACGATAAAAGGAAATGATTTAAGTAGGGGAACATAAAAAATAAAATAAGAAAAAGTAAGGGAAGCAAAAAAAAAAAAAAAAGAAAAGAATGCAGATAAAGGAAGAAAAGTATGAAAAGAAAAACAAATTAATAGAAATACTGCGAAAAAAAGAAAAAAAAAACTGGGAAAGTGAGGAAAGAAAAAATGATGGAAGTAAAAAATGAAAGATAAATTTTGGGAAGAAACGTCGAGAGATAAAAGTAAGAAAAGAAGAAAAAGAAAAAGAACAGTGATTAAAATGCACCGGACGTATAAATAGAGAAATCGAGATAGATAGATAGATAGATAGATACATAGATAGATAGATAGATAGATAGAAAGAAAGAAAGAAAGAAAGAAAGAAAGACACAAAGAAACAAAGAAAGAAAAGAGATAGAATAGAAATGGAAGAGGGATCGAAAGATAATGATAGATGCGAATGAGAAATAGATAGAGACCTAGAAAGAGAGAATGGCGAGATAGAGGGAGAGACAGTGAGAAATACAGAAATGAAGGATGGATAGAGAGAGAGAGAGAGAGAGAGAGAGAGAGAGAGAGATGCGATATTGACAAACAAACCATAAGTGTGTTTGTGTGTGTGTGAGTGAGAGAGAGAGAGAGAGGAGAGAGAGAGAGAGAGAGACGGATAGACAAAGTGTGGAGTGTGAGAGAAGTAAAAATAGGTCTTCATCGTGTTGAAGGTCCTCCTGAACGTTTATCTTTCTTGGTTTTGTATTTTCTGTCTATTTGTCTTTCTTTATTTCTTTTTTTTTTCTTTCTTTCTTTCTTTCTTTCTTTCTTTCTTTCTTTCTTTCTTTCTTTCTTTCTTTGTGTAAAAGGAAGAAAAGACATAGAAGAGAAATGGAAGCGCGATAGAATGATAATGACAAATAGGAATGAGAAATAGATTGAGACAAAGAAAGAGGGGAAGGAAAGAGAGAGAGAGAGAGAGAGAGAGAGAGAGAAATACAGAAATGAAAGATTGATAAGGAAAGAAAGAGAGAGAGAGAACTGAATGAGAAATAGAGAGTGCGGAAAATTAGAATGTGAGAAAGAAAGAGAGAGTAAGAGAGAAAATGAGAGAAAACAAACAACAGAAATATATATATATATATATAATATAATATATAAATATATGTATAGTATATATATATATATATATATATATATATATATATATATATATATATATATATATATATATATATATATAGTTAACATGAAAGTTTTATATATATATATATATAATATATATATATGCAGTGTAAGTGATAGGGGAGTGTGAGACAAATAGAAATAGGTCTTTATCGTGTTGAAATATTAAGGTTCTCCTGAACTTTTACCTTTCTTAGTTTTGCCCTTTGTACCCAGAGAATGTATATTCTTTCTTTCTTTCTTAATTTATCTTTCTTTCTTTCTTTCTTTCTTTCTTTCTTTCTTTCTTTCTTTGTATTCTCTGACATCGTTTAATTAAGGCGCCACGTGCCGACGTCACGTGTCTGGGTCTCCCTGGCGCCCTCTCGCGGCCAGTTAGCACTGTAAGGGCTCGACGCGTGGGACAAAAGGGTCCGAAGAGGGGAAGACGCAATAAACAATTAAATAAATACTAAAAACAAAAAGAAGACTGGCATTACAACTGGAGGACGAAATCGAACAAGAAGCAGAAAGGCTACGGAGAAATGCCTTTCAGCGGACCCCTCTCCCCACCACCACCACCAAAAAAAAAAAAAGACCCAAAACGATACAACTCGCGAAGAGGAGACATTGTGTTAGGAAGATAAACAGCAGAAAAAGACAAACTGGGAAAATTGTATGCGCATGCGTCTTTCCGCGAGAGAGGAATGATGATGATGTTGATGGTCGTCATCATCATCACCGATTATGTTTGCATGTTTATTCACATCCATGTAAGGCTGTGAGGTTATTCTGAACTTTATCTTTCTTGGTTTATATATATATATATATATATATATATATATATATATATATATATATATATATATATAAAGTGAACATTGAAGTCAACACTCATATATGGTGGACTCTCCCGTCGTATTTGACGTATGAGGGTCAAGCAGCTCAGTTCCTAGGAACCGACTGCCCAGACACCAGCACATATGATTCGTTTATAATGTTGAAGGCTTTGTGCAGAACCATCCACACTTTTTGCAGGGCTGACTACGGAGACTTTGTGCACTATGTGCCACAAGGTCCCCAAATGACCCTCTGCAGGTTTTGAATTCATAGTTACCATCCAAGGCTATAGAACCCAGTCTGTCCTGCTATTTATTCATAGCTGGAGGGATAAGAAGAAGATTAATACCTTTCCCAAGGGTATTAGCACATAAGTGAATGGAATGGATTCGACTGGAATTCGAACTCTCCGATTCCACAATCCGAGCCGCTATCCACTCCTTGAACGGTTGACACACAAGGCTATAGAATCCAGTCTGTCCATAGTTGGGTAGAGAAGAAGAGGATTCATATCTTTCCTAAGTGAATGCAACTGACTTGATTGGAATCTATCTATCTATCTATCTATCTATCTATCTATCTATCTATCTATCACTTTCTCCCCCACTCTCTCTCTCTCTCTATTTATCTCTCTCTCTTTCTCTCTCTCTCGCTATATATATATATATATATATATATAATTATTTATTTAAAAATATGATTCCAAATCGCGACATAAAAGTTCCCATGTTTCAAAACAAGCTTGAAAACTTCAAGAGCTATTATTTAAATTAAATTGAGTTAAAATAATTATATTTCCATCTTTTCGGCTCTTGTTTTCAAAACATGGGACTTCTTAGATGAAATTTGGAATCATTTTTAAATAAATAATTATATTTATGCTCTACTTTTGTATCGAGCACTATTTTAAAAAATAATAACTAAAATACTAAGGGACTTTGGATTATTTACCTAACCAGTTCCTTCCTATTTTCTATATATTTTCACACACACACACACACACACACACACACACACACACACACACACACACATATATATATATATATATATATATATATATATATGCACACACACACACACACACACACACACACACACACACACATATATATATATATATATATATAAAATGTACTGGAATAGATAGGTCCAGTTTACACTCCTCGATTTTTGAACAGGAGTAGAGGTTTATCCTTTGTTTCCTGTTTCGTTTCGCATTCGGTTCCTTCCATAGTCTTTTCATTTGCTTTTACTCGCAGTAGATCCCTGTATTTTAGTGGCATTATCACCCTGCTCCCTGCTCGATGAATATATATATATATATATATATATATATATATATATATATATATATATATATATATATATATATACTGCATATTTGAGTTTCGCTAAGCTTAATCACAGTACCTTGTCAGTGGTCTTTAATGAAACAACATCACGTGATGTAAAGCACCAACCAGTTACGTCATCACTTAAAGTACCAGCTGTTGGTCGCGATGACTGATTAATAGTAGCATTAATAGAATACTTGATTTGCGTTATTATTTTATTAGCTGATATTAATTTATCTGTTAATTATGCCAAATATGTTTATCAAACACAATTTTTAGTGGGATATATTTGTGGTAGCCAGCTGGGGGTACGGTAAGTGATGTACAGTAATTGTTAGGAGTGCTGTCCCACTTGTTTTCAGCTAGGTGGTAAAACTTTGCATTTTATATCCACAATATAAATCAACCCTCAACATTTATACGTCGAACACTTAGCATCTGTACCGTTCGAAAGTTATACCATTTTTCGCTTCCAACAGTTTTCACGAAGTAGCATTATGAAATTCACTGCTACCATTATTTAGTGGAGGTTTCTTCAAGTTTCATCTGCTATCCATTTTAGTTGTTACTGCTGTCGGGAGTCTTTAATTTATATGTTATATGCTATTTAGTACTGTCCCTTGTTCATGATTCTGACAGGATTCTTTTGCTGGGAAATATTCTTTTATCATTAATCCAAGAAATGATTGTAGTTTAGTTATTTCTGGAAATGTTTCTCGTCATGCATGACATCCAAATAAATTTTCGATTTGCCGAAGCATTTTCTGGTTTGATTGTTTTGTTTTACGGCATATCAACCTCAAGATTTTATCGTAGGTAATATTTTTTTCCAAAAAGTATTTTGCGGTAATATTTTCCCCAAAATGTATTGCTGGAAATATTTTCCTTCAAAAATGTATTGCTGGTAATATTTCTTTTTTCAGAAATGTATTGCTGGTAATATTTTTTTTCAAAATGTATTGCTGGTAATATTTCTTTTTCAGAAAATGGTAATATTCTTTTTTCATTGCTGGTAATATTTCTTTTTTTCAGAAATGTATTGCTGGTAATATTTCTTTTTCAGAAATGTATTGCTGGTAATATTTCTTTTTTCAGAAATGTATTGCTGGTAATATTTCTTTTTTTCAGAAATGTATTGCTGGTAATATTTCTTTTTTAGAAATATATTGATGGTAATATTACGTTTTTCAGAAATGTATTGCTGGTAATATTTCTTTTTTCAAAAATGTATTGCTGGTAATATTTCTTTTTTTCAGAAATATTGCTGGTAATATTTCTTTTTGATGGTAAATTACGTTTTTTTTTGTTGGTAATATTTCTTTTTTTTCAAAATGTATTGTAATATTTCTTTTTTTTTCAGAAATATATTGATGGTAATATTACTTTTCTCAGAAATGTATTGCTGGTAATATTCCTTTTTTCAGAAATGTATTGCTGGTAATATTTCTTTTTTCAAAAATGTATTGCTGGTAATATTTCTTTTTTCAGTAATGTTGCTGGTAATATTTCTTTTTTCAAAATGTATTTCTGTTAATTTTTTTTTCAAAAATGTATTATTGGTAATAATTTTTTCTTCGAAAATATAATGCTGGTAATAATTTTTCACCAAAATGTCTTGCTGGTACTAAGACCTATTTTTACACTTTCATAGTGATTTGATCACAGTTTGGGTTTAACTATTTTGTCCATAGCTGGAACTCGAGTCAGGGTGAACCTGGAAACACCAGCAGTTAAGAGGTGGTTCCACTCTCCTCAAAAACTCCTGATCAGAGGCCTTGC